TTTCCCTGGTGCACACGCCAATGTGTTTTTGTCTTGGGCTCAAGCTTATGCTGACTTTCATAATTCATCTGATTGTTGGGTTTGCAGTGCTATGCCGTTATCTGTTGGGAGTCTACCTTGGTGAGTAAAACCTCTGACTAAGCGAGAATTTTCTTCGCTATGTAAATTATTAGTACAGCAGGATGAATGGCATGAAAAAATTTATAGATATACTTATTCTAATAATGTGTCTCATCTTGCTTGGTGTTCACTTGACAATGATACCGCGGAAATATTTTTTGATCCTAATGTTACCGAAGAGGGATTATATAAAAGAAAATTTGAGCAGCATGATGTACCCACAGATGCTTCTGGTCGACTAATGGGAAACTTTTATCAGATCTGGGACGAACACATATGGGTTACCCCGGAGACGGGACAATTAACCAACCCTGCGGACATCTGTTGGGAACAAAAGGAACAACCTTGTGTTAAGGACGTGTATGGGAAAGAAAGACACTTGACAACAAAAGATTGGAAATATCTTGGATATCTACCACAAAGATTGTGTAATTGGACTATTGATGTTACATTCATTTGTAAAAAACTGTTTCAGTGGCCAGGGTCTGATTGGGATAATCAATCTGGACGTCGAATAGCTGCACCTAATGGGAAAAAATGGATTTGTGGCACAAATATTTGGCCCTGGTTACCTTGTGGTTGGGTAGGACGCTGTACGTTGGGATTTGTTATAGCCCCTGGTAGAATTGTAAAAACTGTACAAGGGATTCCTGCCAATATGCCTAATTTACATGCTCGATGGACTCGATCAGCATTTAAATGGTATGACTATCTAGCTGCTATTTTTGTCCCTTCTTTAGGAACTGTAGATATTATGACAAAAGTTAATGCTTTGACTAACTTTACTCAGAAAGCTTTGATTGATGTAAAACATGCTGTGGAAGAAATTAATGATGAACAAAAACTTATGAGGAAAGCTGTATTACAGAATAGAATGGCTCTTGACATTCTCACTGCTGCGCAAGGAGGAACTTGCGCTATTATT